CCACCACCGCCCGGCCAGGAACTTGTTCTTAATTACAAATAGAAACATTAACCTGCACAGGACAAACCAGGACTTATTCTGAACAGTCTTAACGTATAAACAGAAACCTTAACTAGCAAGATTTAGTGTTTCTGTTTTTATTTCGCATCCCCCTTCAATTGTATCCTGTAAAATTCTTGATTCTGTAGTAGGCTTTTGGTTGTATTGGGATCAAAGAACCATTCACTTAACAGCAACACAACTGGAATTCATGTGTCTAATTAGGTATTAAGAAGGGAAAGGCTACTAGTAATTCGCAGAAACAGAGGAATCCTATGATGTCTGAAATCAGAGTTACCAAGAGAACGAAAACTAGTCATTTTTCATCTTGGGTCCTATATTTTTTGCAACAATTTCGTTTTTTCCCCCGTTTTTTAAATTGATTTTTATTGAGCTCTCCATTTTTCTCTGCTCCTCTCCCTGCCTCTCCCCTCCCCTTCAACCTTCTCCCAAGGTCCCTATGTTCTCAATTTACTCAGCAGATCTTGTCTTGTGCTTACCAGAGCACATGTGGGGCAGTCAGAGGACAGCGTGGGGGATTCAGTTCTCTCTCTCTGCTATGTGAGTCTCAGGATCCAACTCAGGATGGCAGTTCTGTTGGCAAGTCCTTTACTTTACCTGCTGAACATCTTGTTGTTGACCACTAACTGATGATTTTAATGAGAAGAGTCTCCTCAAGTCTCTGTGGCCTGCATTGTGTCAATCACCAGTTAGATGGTGGTAGGCCACCGAGTTGGGTTGGGAAATGCATTGCTCATCTTACCTGGATTCTTCTGCTGAAGGAACTACAAGCCATTCATACAGTTGGACCTTTAGGCCTGTGTAGCCCTTGTCAGACCTCTTCTTGGTGCCCACAATTTCTGGGGTGATAGTGAGAGTTTAACCCTGAATTCTGTGGAAGCCCCCTTCTCAGTTTCTTCTTGGAGAGTAGGAATGATGTACTGATTTTTCAGTCTTTTCTTTCTTTTTCTCCCTCTTTCTTTCTCTCTCTCTCTCTCTCTCTCTTTCTTTTCCCTTCTCTCTTCCTCCCTCCCTCTTTCCCTCATTTCCCCTCTTTTTCCCTCTTTCTTTCTTTCTTTCTTTCTTTCTTTCTTTCTTTCTTTCTTTCTTTCTTTCTTTCTTATTTCTTTCTGGCTGATTTCCCTGCTTCTCATTGGCTGGCTTGTGTGGACTGAGAGCCAGGTCAGTTCCCTGTGCTGGACATAGGCTAGAAGGAAAGGGTGGAGGCAGCCATCTGTAAAACAGGATCAGGTGCTCTTCAACACAAGCTCTGAAGTGAGTTTCTCAGGAGAACAGCTCCTGGGGCACCTGGGTCATGGCTGTGCTCTGGCTGCTGCTGCTAGCAGGGCTGCCCACATTCTTACTGGGAGTCTTTGTATGGGTTGCTATTCAAAACTTCCTCACGGCAGATATTCCTTCTACCCTGAAGCATCCAGCCAAGTTATGGTTTATGCACTGCACTGGACAGTACCTGATAGCACTGGTGAGTTTTCTCTTGGGCCCCACCGTGGGTTGGGGGTTCTCTTTGCACCTTGCCCTTCTCCTTTCTTTACCATCTCTTCTTTCTCTAGGTTCTCACGAGACTGAGTTGGGGAAGTCTCTCACCTCCCACATCTTACTCCTGTTTCTATTTTTTCCGCTTTCTTTTCTTGGTTTTTCCTCCTCCTCAACCTTGCTTTCGCCTTTGCTTCCTTCTTTTTTTTTCTCTTCCAATTTCAGTTTTCTTCTTCTTTTTTATTGAGAAAGGATCTCACAATGTGGTCTTGACTGGCCTTATCATTAAGCTGGCCATCCCTCACTCCCATCTATTGAGGGGCCTTATGACAGGGTGCATCACAGGTCTTGGGTATGAAGCTATTTTCTGAAGATCAAGAAAATAATTTCAGACACAGGTGTTACCCACTAAGGTCTGATAGATCCCAAGCAGCATTCAGTCATAGCTCCCTTGCCTCTTGTTCCATGTCCCTGTCTCTAGGAAATTCCTTACGTGCACTCAAGACTCCAAAGACAGAGATTAACTTGCCCTATTTGATGACATCCATGTAATGGTTTCACCGAGCCCTTTACCATAGGTGCACAGTCAGTGGGGCTCTGAGCTAGCCTTCAGGGCTGGAAATTGGGAACAGAGTTCAGCACATGCTAATGAGTTCAGCAGATGAGTGCAGGATTGTTTGGCCCCATATGATAATCTGGCAATTTGAATGAGTGTTGACGTCAAAACTCTGATTGGGGACTTGGCGTTTGCCAGATATTGCACGGTGATTACCTCTAAGATGAGCTGAGGGGGAAGTGCAAAAGAGAAGGCTAACAAGTTCACAGCCAGGATATCTGGGAAACATTGCTACTGTGTTCTCACTGGCTCGAGAGCCCTTTGGCTAACTTCTCTGTTTTCAGAGTCCTCATCTAAACTGAAGCAATGACTTCTGAAGGGCATTATCTGGCACTTTGATCAGGCTTCATAGGATCTGGAAAGTTGTAAAAACATGTATTTCTGCCCTGTGAAAATTTCCCACCACAAAAATGGACCACTTTAGAGGAATAAGCAAGTGTATGGGTCACATGCTAATTTGGGCTCCTGGCACTACAAATGAGGGCCTTGGATCTCCAAGGGCACAGAGACATGTGGATCATTCTTACCTTACTCTTTCACTTTAAAAGTAGCCCCAATGCTAATCACCTGCTGATGCTGGCTTGTGTCTCCAAAGGCAGAGAGACATGTGGATGATTCTGACCTTACTTTAAAAACAACTCCTATGCTAAGTACCTGCTGACACTGGCTTGTGACATGTGCTACGTGTACAGAGAAGATGTGGACTTGAGTCTAGTGTTGGCTAGTCTATGCGGGAGACCCTGCCTGATCTCTCTAGTCCAGAGACCCCTGGCAAGCTGCCTCTGAGAAGAGTGACCATGAAGAAATCTAAGTGGTTGATGTTCACACAGTCCAAAACAGAGAAAGGAGAGAGACGATGTTTATGTGGGAGGAAAAAGAGTCTGAAAACATTCCATGGGCCCCAAATCAAAAGATTAGCCTTGCATTGCGGCCTCAACAACAAAATAAAGAATACTTATTTGTTCTTTGAAAGTTTCCTACATGGCATGGCATTGCTCTAAACTGTTGAATATCATTTATTATTTATTGAAGAGGTAGAGAGCAGGAGTGGGCTAGCATGCATGGGGTTATTCTCCCCGTAGACCTCTGGCTCTGTGGAAGGAAACCACCTAAGCAATTCTATACTTGCAACAGTGTCTTCATAATTCCAAAGGATTCTGAGCAGTGCAGCTAGGGCCTCCAAGGAAGAAGCAGCCACCAATATAAAATGGAGGTGGAGGGTGTCTTTCTCTAGAATGTGACCTCTGAACTTGAATATGCACTCATTTGGATCCTTCTGCAGCCTGCCAGGAGTGAGAATCTAATTATGCACCTCTGCTCAAAGCATTCTTGCCTAGTAGGTGGCTACTGCCTATAGACTCTCAGTTGTTTCCAGGGCTGGGCAGTGTTCCTTTTGAGTCTCAGGAGCTGCCTGCTCTTTTTCGGAGGGAATGTTTGCCTCCAGAAGAAATGCTGTACAACTCTCTACCTCTTTCTCTGTTTTTACTTGCAATCTTTATAACCCCTTTCCTCCTCAAGTACGCTGAGTCTCAATTGGGATCAGAAAAATAGATGCCCTCTCAGGCTGCCCATTGAGCCATTGTGCCCTACCAGTGGTCACTTGTTCTCAGGAGTTTCATTGGTGGTTTTTGGTCCTCTGTGGGACACTCTCCATTGCAAAAGGAATTCTGAGGGTGACAACAACAGTGCTTGATGCACAGACGATCAGAAGGAGTTTACCCAGCACATCACAAACCTTCAACAAACAGTGTCAGAGATTCCCCTCTGGATGCTATGGCCTCCTGAACCACTAGGTTTCGTCTTGGCTTACAGTACCAGACATGAACTCTCTCATGTGTAGTGGGTCTCACATGCAATGGAGAAGATGTTGATTGTCCCACAATAATCCTGTCAGTATTTCCTCTGCAAGAACACCTTGCCAGGCATTTGGTGCCATAGCAGGCAGGGACCATAGCTGAGCAGGGTTTGCTGGGACAGCTCTCCTGCACCAGCCCTCCTGCACCAGCCCTCCTGCAGCAGCTCTCCTGCAGCAGCCCTCCTGCAGCAGCCCTCCTGCAGCAGCCTTCCTGCAGCAGCCTTCCTGCAGCAGCTCTCTTGCAGCAGCTTTCCTGCAGTAGCCCTCCTGTGGCAGCCCTCCTGCGGCAGCTCTCCTGCAGCAGCCTTCCTGCAGCAGCCCTCCTGCAGCAGCCCTCTTGCAGCAGCCTTCCTGCGGCAGCTTTCCTGTAGCAGCTCTCTTGCAGCAGCTTTCCTGCAGCAGCCCTCCTGCGGCAGCTCTCCTGCGGCAGCTCTCCTGCGGCAGCTCTCCTGCAGCAGCTCTCCTGCGGCAGCTCTCCTGCAGCAGCTCTCCTGCAGCAGCCCTCCTGCAGCAGCCCTCCTGCTGCAGAACTCCACACAGCACATTTCGGCATTATTGGAGAGCCAGTAAGAAGAAACCTCCCATCTCCGTCCCAGCTTCCTACCTCCCTGCACTGCAACTAGACCATGAAGTGTCTTTAGCAATAGGCTTACCATCTGGTCCTGGCATGTACCCAACATCAGTGGCAAGAGCCTTTGTGTTTTATGGGGCCTCAGGTGCCTCCCTGGCCAACAACTTGTAGGGAGGTAACCCCTCTCTGGCACTTGGGGTTTTCATTTAACAAACGTATGGTCTCTAGGAGAGCCCTTTTCACCCATGCAATAGCTATGTACTTAAGTACACTCTTGATGGTTTTGAGAAAATGCAAATTGGGCAAATTAGCCTTGCGATTCAGGCCCAAAGAAACACTAAAAATGCGTTAGCAAGGTGAAATAGTGTGAAAATAGTCCATCACTTGTGTCAACAGCCTGGTTGTCTCATCCTGAGGCACCTCCATGGGGTTCCTGTCGTTTTTCTTCACCCCTTGTTGGCTTGCTCTCACCACCCCAAGCAGTTTAGAGTTTGGTAAGCTCTAGAGCAATGGTTTCAGCAATGGGCTATCTCATGTCATCTCTTACTAGAAAAGGAGGCCTATGCTCATGAGACAGAAAACCAGATGACCTCACTCATTCATACATGACTTAAACAACTCGAGAGATTATCATATCGTCGCTTCTTAAAATGCCCAGCTCTTACTACTGGCAATGGAATTTTAATGAGTTTTGATGAAGTGAGGTCAACACTTGGATCACAACAACATCACCATTCATTCAGGACCTTGTGGGAAGTAAAGTTCAAACAGGCTCCCCTATCTGAAAACAATGCATATATATATTACATATAAAATAGTGAGTTATGTCCCCATGATCCCTTTGGACATGTGGTAAGCAGGTGGGAATTGGTGACAACACCTGAGCAATGCCAAGTGGCTTCAGCAATTACGCACCTGGATTGATATTTTGTTTATGTTTTTAATGACTAAAGCTTGTCTGAAGACTGGATTGCAGAACTAAGCTTTTATAAGTCGGGCAGTGGTGACACACATCTTTAGTCCCAGGACCAGGGAGACAGAGGCAGATGAATGTCAGTTTGAAGCTACCCTGGGCTACAGGAAATTGCTCCAGTCTGTGAGAGAAACAGAGCTCACACGAAGGTGATCCCAGGACTTGGGATCACACGCCTTTAATCCCAGCACTGAGGAGGTGTAGACCAGAATGAAATGGCTGGGCAGAGAGATGACTATAAGGCGGAAGGAGACTGGAGTAGACGCAATCTGAGCAAGCAGTCTGAGGCAGCAGTGTGAAGCATAGGCAGTCAGACTGAGGATGCAGTCTGAGGCGGCAGTCTGAGGACAGGATCGCCCTTTTGGTCTGAGCATTGGTAGAGGTGTGAACTCTCTAGGCGCTGGCTGCCCTAATTCTCTGATCTTCCGGCAGTCACACTTATATCTGACTCCAGGTGTAGAAGGAGTTGCGGGCCGCTTCCCTGCCGCCCCCGCTCCTGGCCGCCAGCTAGCTTATGCCCGAAATAATTACACGGAAACTGTATTCTTTTAAACACTGTCTAGACCATTATCTGTAGCCTCTTATTGGCTAGCTCTTACATATTAATCTAACCCATTTTTAATAATCTGTGTAGCCCATGAGGTGGTTTACCAGAGAAGATCTTAACCTGCGTCTGTCTGGAGTGGGAGAATCATGGCGACTCCTGACTCAGCTTCTTTCTCCCAGCATCCTGTTCTGTTTTCTCGGCCTACCTAAGGGTTGGCCTATCAAATGGGCCTAGGCAGTTTCTTTATTAGTAAGAAATCACTTCCACATCATCCAGGTTTTTATTACTAAGAACAATTAGAATTTGTGCTACTTCTGCACACTTTCCGTCCTTTGTCTACTACAGGGGAACATCCTAGAGAAATTGAGAATTTGTGCCATGCCCAGGTTTTTACAGTTTCTCATAAGCCTAATGCCGATAAAGAAGGATCCTAACGTGCTGGCGACTGACATGCATTTTGGAACAGTTCCTGTGAGGCTGCTCAAGCCCAAGGCAGTGTCTTCCAAACCCCGGCGAGGCATCGTCTTCTATCATGGAGGAGGTGCAATCATTGGAAGCTTGGGTAAGTAGCTTCCACGTGATGTGGGGAGCTTCATCAAAGGTAGAATCTGACACATGTTCTCATGGGGACTTGTCAGGAGGGAGCTGATGCAGGGAGACGTTGGAGTTTCTTAAAGAGAGGATGGGTGCGGAGTTTGGGGCTCACCCCAGTCAGTGGGTTGTAGTTTAAGCGGCAAAGTTCTCTGTGTTGGTCTAAGTCTAGCTTGGGGCAGTGCGTCAGAGAAGGACTGTCCTGGAAATGGCCGTGAGCCCTTTCTTTCCTCTCTACTCCTAGCACTGACCTTTTCTGCCTCTTCACAGCACCCTCTGAATCGTGCCCGTGCCTCAGCTTGGCCGGCGCATGGTGGAGAAAATCCAGTCACTTCATCCCCTTCACTGCTGAACCCAAGTTGTGTCCTGCCTCCACTTCTTAAGCTTCAGTCTTCTCTTCCCACCAGAAGAGTCCAAAAATACACTTTAGAACATATCATTGCAGCCCCTCCAGTACCCCATGATGCCCTTTCCAATCTTGTCTCTTGCTTCTCTTCCTGCCCTTCATGTGCTGTAGACACCAAACTTCTCTGACCTTGTGAGAGAAGACTTCGTCTCTGGGTCCACCAACGTAGCTGCTGTCCCGGGCTCTGTGGTGGAAAGTGCGTGGTTCTTGCCACAGCTGCTTTAATACTGGGTTTTTCTCTTGCAGACAGTTACCATGGCCTTTGCAGCTTCCTGGCCAGTGAAACAGACTCTGTGGTGCTGATGGTGGGGTGAGCATCCTGAGATGACTGTGGGCTCATATATGCTAGGGTATTTATTGGAACCATCTGGGTGACATTAGACTATAGAAAGGGGCCCCGAACTTGGGTGTTACTTATATATTTTTATGTACACCTGTCTAGGATGTCCCCATACCCCAGGTCTTGACAATGGGTTATTCACAGTTTCTCACATGGAGTGTCTAACACCCTTGGCTCTTTAAAGCTACAGCTGCTATTTCTCCAGCTTTTGTTTCTCCTGTTGTGGCCACTGCTGCCTCTGTCTCCCTGACTTTTTGCTGTTGGCTTTGAGCTCTTTTGTCAGCCTTGCCCCTCTGCTACCCCTCACTGCCATTCCTGCGGCTTCACCTCTGCTCCTGGATGGCCACTGGATATTCCCCGTGGCTCTGCTATCACTGTTCTCAAGGCTTCTGGCTTCCTCCACGGGCCAGTTATCATCATTATCAGACTATCAGTAGCCCTTGTGCCTCTGGTTCTGCAGCCTCAGCTGTTACTGGCACCGCTACTACCTTCTGGTAACCTGCTCCGTCTGCTATACAAAAGCAATCAGGAAATAACTTCTAGTGAGAGGCTGTTTATTGGGTCAAATGTTGCAAACCAAGCAGTGGCCAACATAGGAAGATGCCTTCCAGCTGGCTCACAAAATTAACACAACAGCATGCTAATCTAATCAGAAAAGAGTGTGTGCCCTGGTGTCAGCGGGCCTTCATATAGAATTGTGATTATGAGAAGCATTATATTGTCCCTTCTGTACTGGGCTAGAGTCCTGATAGGCATATAATCTGGGTAATTCCTTTTCTTTGGCTTCACATCATAAGGAAAGTCTATTTCAAATTGTTTGAAAACTTTCGGTGGTGGCTGCAACTTCAGTTGCTAGGGCTGTGTTTTAGTTGCAAGTGGCCAAGACTGTTGTGTAGCTTCCTTAATGTTCGTGTGGTGTTCAAAATCACCTGTGTGTTAGAGGTCTAGCAGACGACTAGACTCACAGACATTTTCTCCAAGCTGCCTCCTTTGCAGGAGTCTAAGAGCTCCCCATTAAGGAGTCCAACTGCCTAATCTCCTAACACTTTTGCTTAACCACAGGAAAATAAACATTAGAATGAATGCCTTATTACTAACACTGGCATGGACTTACAGTGTGTCAAGGGGTGAATTTTAATACTGCTCACCATGTGCCTCACACATCAGGGAAAGGTGAGTCTCACAAGATGGGGGACCAGATGAATCCAGTAGCCGTCCCTGGATCTCTGCTGCTTGCTCTGTTTGCTAAGACATCATCTTCGAACTTGCTGCGTTCTGTATGGGGTGTGCTCATCTATGGGAAGAAGTATGGGTGGACATGGAGCATCCTGACCCCTCTGATCCTCAAAGTCCCTGAAGGGAAAGTGAGGGTTGCCATGTTTACTTGTTAGGATCACTCTGCGGATTGAGTCAAGTTTGGTCCGCTTTGAAAGTAGAGGACGATGACCGAAGTGGCCTCCAGTGACCCGATTGTAAAGTAGCTTGCTGTGTTTGCTCTCTACTCCTCAGGTACCGCAAGCTTCCTAGCTACCATCATCCTGTCCTTGCCAATGATTGCCTGAGTGCCACCATCTACTTCCTGACGCACCTGGAATCCTTTGCGGTGGACCCATCCCGGGTGGTTCTCTGTGGAGAGAGTATTGGAGGTTGGGCTGTGGCCACTGTCATGCAGGTCTTAACCAGAATTCCCAGTCTACCCCAGGTCCAGGCACAAGTCCTGATTCAACCAATTTTGAATGTCGTCAATTTTCAGTTGCCATCATATCAGCAGAGCAAAAACGTGCCATTCCTTACCAGAGACATGCTGTTTATGTGTCTGTGTAAATACCTGGCCATTGACCTCTCCTGGAAAGATGCCATGTTGGCAGGTGCTGTTATACCTCTGGATAAGTGGAAGAAATACCAGAAATGGATCAGTCATGAAAACATCCCCAGTAGGTTTTGGAGACAATTTTCACAACCAGAGTCTCTTGGGCCTTTTAATGAGGCTGCCTATCTAGAAACCAAACACATTTGGAGTGCAGAAATTTCACCTGTCCTAGCAGATGACGAGGTCATTTCTCAGCTTCCTAAGACATTGCTGGTGAGCTGTGAGAACGACATCCTCCGAGATGATGTGTTGCTGTACAAGAAGCGCTTAGAAGACCAGGGGGTCCCTGTGAACTGGTACCATGTGGAAGATGGCTTTCACGGATGCATTATGTTGCTTGATAAGAAGTATCTTTCTTTCCCCTGCTCTATGAAAGCTGCAAAGGCTGTCATTGATTACATAAAGGGTATTTGATAGTAAACTTGGGCTTTCTGTGGAGTGGGACTAGGAAGACCTATGCTTCATGGGGTCTTTGCTTAGTTATATGTTTGGGGGAAAGGAGAGGATGAAACAATAATAATAGTGATCCAGGAAGAAATGAGGACATGGATCAAAGAACTCTTGACTTCCTGTCAAACAAATTTTAATTTGTGCTCCCCTCCTATACCACTGATATCATGTATTGGATCCTGCCACAGTCTCTACTCTTTCATTAGGTAAAACACATATTGTATTCATAAAAATGTTCTTTAAAATTCTTGAATATTTACCTAGTCTGTGTAGAATAAATACCATGGAATCACACTGTAACTGGTGAACTCTTATTAATCGTGACAAAAATATTTTGGACGCCATTCCTACAAATGAAGCCATCATGTTTTTGCTAATGATGGCAAGGTCACTGGTCACAGCTCCATCAATGTTGCTTCTATTCATCCTGAAAAAGAGTTTTCAATGAAACTCTCTGAAAATAGCCACCCTTTGCCTTAATTCTGTCATGATTTTTTTGTGGGAATGTTTAAGAAACAGAGGTTGGGAAAAAGGCACTGTGAAGGGATTTAGAGGGATGGGTGAGCTCTGAGTGCAATTGCACACCCCTGGAATCACATTTCAGAATTCCTGTCTCAGATCCCTGTTCACCATGAGATGGATTTTCATAGTCGCAGCTATGCTGGGAACACTGGAAGCCCCCTGGTATACAGCACCCCTGTCCCTAGGAGAAGAAGGCAATAAGTTCATGTGTTATTCCCATGTTACACTGGTCCTCACCGCACTGTTGTCCAGACCATACAAGTGATGAGTTGTCAACATTCTTCCCTGCAACTGTTCCTTCTCTGGAACCAGGTCTCTCACTTCTAAGGGTAATGTAATGCGTTCCTGTTAGTGTTCTGGATCCTTGGGATGAGGGCCAGATTTTCCACGAACAATGGTACTGGGAACATGGGAGCACAACAGACATGATTAATCATGGGCGATATGTCAGTAGTTTGGATGGGAGGTGAGTGTCCCCATCATGGTCTTGACTTTTCTACTTGTGTATTCTAAGTCCTCCTCCCTTTAACTGGACTTTGGGAGTCAGCCCAATGCTCCACTGTGGTTCTCTGCATCTTCTTCCATCCGTTATTGAATATAGGCTCTAGGATGACATTTAAGATAGCCATCAGCTTTCTTACGCATGACCCAGCACCCCAGCATACCCCCCACCACCCTGCCCTGCTGTATGCTAGGACCAGTGCTCAACAACAGTTTTAAGCTCCTACCCACTCAGAGCGGTGAGCCTCAAGGTCCCCTGTAAGGGAGCCCGGGCACCCTCAGCCTGTGCTCCAGGGGCTCCTGTGCTCTCCTGGATCCCGCCCTGACTGCCCCGTTCTTCCTTTTGTCCCCGGATCATTGGGCTACCAGGCGGTCCTGTTTAGGTGCTGAGGAGTTCCATCTGGACAAGTGAGTGTGTGCTATCCAGGGGCGATTGTCCCGGAAGAGAGCACAAACCCCCCTCCCTCAGCTCCTTCTGCAGGGCTGTCTTTCTTACACACG